AAGAGGGGACACATGTTGATGTAGAAGAGACATGAAGAAGAGGGGACACATGTTGATGTGGAAGAGACATGAAGAAGAGGGGACACATGTTGATGTAGAAGAGACATGAGGAAGAGGGGACACATGTTGATGAAGAAGAGACATGAAGAAGAGGGGACACATGTTGATGTAGAAGAGACGTGAAGAAGAGGGGACACATGTTGATGTAGAAGAGACATGAAGAAGAGGGGACACATGTTGATGTAGAAGAGACATGAAGAAGAGGGGACACATGTTGATGTAGAAGAGACATGAAGAAGAGGGGACACATGTTGATGTAGAAGAGACATGAAGAAGAGGGGACACATGTTGATGAAGAAGAGACATGAAGAAGAGGGGACACATGCTGATGTAGAAGAGACATGGAGAAGAGGGGACACATGTTGATGTAGAAGAGACATGAGAAGAGGGGACACATGTTGATGTAGAAGAGACATGAAGAAGAGGGGACACATGTTGATGTAGAAGAGACATGAAGAAGAGGGGACACATGTTGATGTAGAAGAGACATGAAGAAGAGGGGACACATGTTGATGTAGAAGAGACATGAAGAAGAGGGGACACATGTTGATGTCGAGGAGACATGAAGAAGACGTACCTTGATGAGTCCTTCAGAGAACAGGATCTCGATGGTTTCCTTCAGGATGGGCAGCAGGCCTCCATGATGGATTCCTATGCCTCTCTTCAACAGAGGAAGCACATGCTCCACCTGCAGGGCAAACGCAGCGTGAGGTTTCAAAACAACATTATGGAAAATGCCCCCGCGTCACCGATCCTGCTGAAGGTGTCACTCCTTGTGTAAAATGCTTTTATTTATTTTACTATTATTAATTTATTTTTCATAATTATCTTATTTATTTCCTTATTTTAACTTGTAACCGTTTTATTTTTTTATTTCTTATTCTGTTTAACCATATTATTTGTCATTTGAATGGACAAGTCCTTACGGTATGTCTTGATTTGTAAAAAACTATAATGAACATTTTTCAAATAAGTCAAGGTTTGAGTTTGTTTACAGCAGGGGGGTCAAACTCAATTTCATCGCGGGCCACATTCGTATAAAGGTTGCACTCAAAGGGCCGGTTGTAACTATATAAATATATAATATATATCAAATAATGTATTATATTACATTATTGCCTCTGAATTGGATTATTATCGGATAGGATAATAACTTAGTAATTAACTACGAAAGCAGAATTCCAGGGCAAATAATTACAAGTCTCTTCAGTGCACATGTCACAAAACGAGATGCATTGTGGGACATGTAGTTTATGGGCAACCTTCTTCTGTAAAGTGGCATGTAACCGTATATAATACACTTATTATATTCTTTGCAAGCTCTTGCAGGGCCACATAAAATGAAGTCGCGGGCCGGATTTGGCCCCCGGGCCTTGTTTTTGAGACCCCTGGTTTACAGGGATTTAAAGATATAATAATAAATTACATTTGTATAGCGCCTTTCAAGGGACCCAAGGCCGCTTCACATGGTGAACAAACAAACAAACAAAAGGGGAAAGTTCTTATGTTTATCAGTGGATTTGAGTCTTTTCAGACCATTTGCACAAAAACCTACAGAACACAGAAGGGAAGGGAAAAGCCCCAAAAGCCCATTAGGGTCTCTTCAACCCGTTGAGCCCTGAGCCTGTTTTCCAGGTCTCAGGCTCGAAAAGGACATGCCCAGAACAAATGACCATATCTTCCCTTCTAAAAGGGTTAAATTAATAATCTTTGTTCTCAAAGCAATGATAAACCTGTGAGCTGGATGTAGAAGAGTCAGAATCAATATAGATGTTTTTTATTTTAAAGTAACTTCAGATTGAACATAGTAAAAAACTGTAAATTATTGTGTCCGTCCAAAAATAAAACATGACTTAAAGTGAAAACCACCCTTGAATGATGCGATGGTAGACTACAAGCTTTAGGAATCCAAACTATAACATATAATAAGTACCCTGTATCAAGATTGATGCAAAACAAGTGACCTTTGACCTTTTTAGAGAGGTTTAGAAAGAAAAAAAACACCTTTGGGGTCATTTGGCGTTTCTCTTGGTCGATTTTGATGATTGACATCTCTTTCTAACCAATAGAATCGAGGGGGAGGTTCCTAAAATCCATCTAAACATTACCCATTGGTGAACGAGTGATGCGTAGCCAGAATGCCCAAAACAGGAAGCTGTCATACACTCTGGTGGCTATCGTAGCAGCTAATATGAAATCTCCGTTATTGACATAAAATTGGAATGATGGATTATCAGGAATCATTTCAAAGTGACGGACACATTGGATTAACCTTCAGCAGCGTGTTTGTCGTTTTAATGCCATTGAACACGACTTTTGATCAGAACAACAGCTAAGGTGAGAATATCTCCGTGAAGCTACGTGTTTTTCGCTTCCCCTGTGATCGCTCAGTGATGATACTTATGTCTGGAATCTGTGGAGTCTCAGTTTACCGGGGGCATGGGGCTGAACTGGTTAACAAGGTGACAACTCGGGGGGAATTAGGAAAATGTGGGTCTTTATATCAAATGTTTTGTATGAGATGTTTTGTATTACTCCTCCTCACCTGAGGGAGTTTCTTATCCTCGTCCGACAGACAATCAATGGCGTTGCTGAACACTTCCTCCACCATACGCTTCTCTTCATCTGCAACAAAAAACAAAGTGCATTTGTTAAAAATCTTCTCAAAGCTTTCCAGTAAACACACACACACACACACACCATGTATACATCACTTCAGGGGACATTACATTGACTTACATGCATTTCCTGGAGACTTATCCTAACCTTAACCATAACCAACACATGCCTAACCCTAACCAAGTCTTCACCCTAAAATTAATGACTCCCCTTATGGAGACCTCCAATTTGTCCCATAACACACACACACACACACACACACACACACACACACACACACACACACACACACACACACACACACACACCACACACACACACACACACACACACACACACACACACACACACACACACACACACACACACACACACACACACACACACACACACACACACAACACACACACACACACACACACACACACACACACACACACACACACACACACACACACACACACACACACACACACACACACACACACACACACACACACACACACGTTTTAGAGAGAACATTTCACAATAACAGTCAAGAAAAGTGGCTCGGTTATTTCACAAAGTCTCAGATGTAATTCTTCTTGGCGTGTTCGGTTAATGTGGAACAACTTGGGAGAGGTTTTTAGGCTTGCAGGAAAAGCGAAACCACGACGAGGTTGAGCAAGAACATGTCAATTCTCATTTATTTTATACGATTTAGCCACAAAACTGTCACTTTAAATTGTTTTTAACCACTTTTTGCAACTTACAAATATTCATATTGATCAATTAATTCAAATGAGTGAAGCTGAGGTTTTAAGAGGATACATATTTCCATATGTCTCGCCAGCACTTTATTATTGTAATGTAGTGATGTATGATTACTGAGCTAATAGCACTGCACTGTTTGCTGTGGCTGGTTGCTATCTGCGTCTTCGTCATGACGTTATTCTGGGAAACCTTCCCCATCATGTTCGACAGGAACTCCATATTTATTTTTATTTCAGATGACCTCAGAGTCAATGGGACTTATTCTAATACTTGAATAACAAAGTGAAACCACAGACAAACGCACTGGAGGCAAAGATATATGCATGGCTCAAGAGAAACAGCCCGATAAAACAAAACCTAACATCCACTTTATTTTAGGAGCTCCACATGCAGAGGACTCTTTAAAGTAGAGACACTACATACTGATATACACCTGAACATCAGCAGGAGAGGACTCTTTAAAGTAGAGACACTACGTACTGATATACACCTGAACATCAGCATTAGAGGACTCTTTAAAGTAGAGACACTACATACTGATATACACCTGAACATCAGCAGGAGAGGACTCTTTAAAGTAGAGACACTACATACTGATATACACCTGAACATCAGCAGGAGAGGACTCTTTAAAGTAGAGACACTACATACTGATATACACCTGACATCAGCAGGAGAGACTCTTTAAAGTAGAGACTCAAAATACTGATATACACCTGAACATCAGCAGGAGAGGACTCTTTAAAGTAGAGACACTACATACTGATATACACCTGAACATCAGCAGGAGGACTCTTTAAACGACATACTAGATACACCTGACATAGCAGGAGAGGACTCTTAAAAGTATAGACACTCATACTGATTCACCTGAACATCAGCAGGAGAGGACTCTTTAAAGTAGAGACACTACATACTGATATACACCCTGACATCAGCAGCTGAGGAGAGACTCTTTAAAGTAGAGACACTACATACTGATATACACCTGAACATCAGCAGGAAGAGGACTCTTTAAAGTAGAGACACTACATACTGATATACACCTGAACATCAGCAGGAGAGGACTCTTTAAAGTAGAGACACTACGATACTGATATACACCTGAACATCAGCAGGAGAGGACTCTTTAAAGTAGAGACACTACACGTACTGATATACACCTGAACATCAGCAGGAGAGGACTCTTTAAAGTAGAGACACTACGTACTGATATACACCTGAACATCAGCAGGGAGAGGACTCTTTATAAAGTAGAGACACTACGTACTGATATACACACCTGAACATCAGCAGGAGAGGACTCTTTAAGTAGAGACACTAACGTACTGATATACACCTGAACATCAGCCAGGAGAGGACTCCTTTAAAGTAGAAGACACTACAAGTACTGATATAACACCTGAATCATCAGCAGGAGAGGACTCTTTAAAGTAGAGACACTACATACTGATATACACCTGAACAGCAGGCAGAGAGGGACTCTTAAAGTAGAGACACTACAAGTACTGAATTATACAACTGAAACATCAGCAGGGAGAGGACTCTTTAAAGTAGAGACACTAACACCTACATACTGATATACACCTGAACATCAGCAGGAGAGGACTCTTAAAGTAGAGACAACTACGTACTGATATACACCTGAACATCAGCAGGAGAGGACTCTTTAAAGTAGAGACACTACGTACTGATATACACCTGAACATCAGCAGGAGAGGACTCTTTAAAGTAGAGACACTACATACTGATATACACCTGAACATCAGCAGGAGAGGACTCTTTAAAGTAGAGACACTACATACTGATATACACCTGAACATCAGCAGGAGAGGACTCTTAAAGTAGAGACACTACATACTGATATACACCTGAACATCAGCAGGAGAGGACTCTTTAAAGTAGAGACACTACATACTGATATACACCTGAACATCAGCAGGAGAGGACTCTTTTAAAGTAGAGACACTACGTACTGATATACAACCTGAAACATCAGCAGGAAGAGGACTCTTGTAAAGTAGAGACACTACGTACTGATATACACCTGAACCATCAGCAGGAGAGGACTCTTAAAAGTAGAGACACTACATTACTGAATATACACCTGAACATCAGGCAGGAGAGGACTCTTTAAAGTAAGAACAACTACATACTGAGTATACACCTTGAACCTCAGCAGGAGAAGGACCTCTTGTAAAGTAGAGGACACTACATACTGATATACACCTGAACATCAGCAGGAGAGGACTCTTTAAAGTAGAAGACACTACAATACTGATAAATACACCTGAACATCAAGCAGGAGAGGGACTCTTTAAAGTATGAGAACATACATACTGATATAAGCACGCTGAACATATAGCAGGAGAGGAACTCGTTAAAAAGGTAGAGACACTACATTACTGATAGACACCTGAACATAAGCAGGAGAGGACTCTTTAAAAGTAGAGACACTACAGTACTGATATACACCTGAACATCAGCAGGGAGAGGGACTCTTTAAAGTAGAGACACTACTAACTGATATACACCTGAACATCAGCAGGAGAGGACTCTTTAAAGTAGAGACAACTACATACTGATATACACCTGAACATCAGCAGGAGAGGACTCTTTAAAGTAGAGACACTACATACTGATATACACCTGAACATCAGCAGGAGAGGACTCTTTAAAGTAGAGACACTACATACTGATATACACCTGAACATCAGCATGAGAGGACTCTTTAAAGTAGAGACACTACATACTGATATACACCTGAACATCAGCAGGAGAGGACTCTTTAAAGTAGAGACACTACATACTGATATACACCTGAACATCAGCAGGAGAGGACTCTTTAAAGTAGAGACACTACATACTGATATACACCTGAACATCAGCAGGAGAGGACTCTTTAAAGTAGAGACACTACATACTGATATACACCTGAACATCAGCAGGAGAGGACTCTTTAAAGTAGAGACACTACATACTGATATACACCCTGAACATCAGCAGGAGAGGACTCTTTAAAGTAGAGACACTACATACTGATATACACCTGAACATCAGCAGGAGAGGACTCTTTAAAGTAGAGACACTACATACTGATATACACCTGAACATCAGCAGGAGAGGACTCTTTAAAGTAGAGACACTACATACTGATATACACCTGAACATCAGCAGGAGAGGACTCTTTAAAGTAGAGACACTACATACTGATATACACCTGAACATCAGCAGGAGAGGACTCTTTAAAGTAGAGACACTACATACTGATATACACCTGAACATCAGCAGGAGAGGACTCTTTAAAGTAGAGACACTACATACTGATATACACCTGAACATCAGCAGGAGAGGACTCTTTAAAGTAGAGACACTACATACTGATATACACCTGAACATCAGCAGGAGAGGACTCTTTAAAGTAGAGACACTACATACTGATATACACCTGAACATCAGCAGGAGAGGACTCTTTAAAGTAGAGACACTACATACTGATATACACCTGAACATCAGCAGGAGAGGACTCTTTAAAGTAGAGACACTACATACTGATATACACCTGAACATCAGCAGGAGAGGACTCTTTAAAGTAGAGACACTACATACTGATATACACCTGAACATCAGCAGGAGAGGACTCTTTAAAGTAGAGACACTACATACTGATATACACCTGAACATCAGCAGGAGAGGACTCTTTAAAGTAGAGACACTACATACTGATATACACCTGAACATCAGCAGGAGAGGAACTCTTTAAAGTAGAGACACTACATACTGATATACACCTGAACATCAGCAGGAGAGGACTCTTTAAAGTAGAGACCTACATACTGATATACACCTGAACATCAGCAGGAGAGGACTCTTTAAAGTAGAGACACTACATACTGATATACACCTGAACATCAGCAGGAGAGGACTCTTTAAAGTAGAGGACCACTACATACTGATATACACCTGAACATCAGCAGGAGAGGACTCTTTAAAGTAGAGACACTACATACTGATATACACCTGACATCAGCAGAGAGGACTCAGCAGGGAGAGGACTCTTTAAAGTAGAGACACTACATACTGATATACACCTGAACATCAGCAGGAGAGGACTCCTTTAAAGTAGAGACACTACATACTGATATACACCTGAACATCAGCAGGAGAGGACTCTTTAAAGTAGAGACACTACATACTGATATACACCTGAACATCAGCAGGAGAGGACTCTTTAAAGTAGAGACACTACATACTGATATACACCTGAACATCAGCAGGAGAGGACTCTTTAAAGTAGAGACACTACATACTGATATACACCTGAACATCAGCAGGAGAGGACTCTTTAAAGTAGAGACACTACATACTGATATACACCTGAACATCAGCAGGAGAGGACTCTTTAAAGTAGAGACACTACATACTGATATACACCTGAACATCAGCAGGAGAGGACTCTTTAAAGTAGAGACACTACATACTGATATACACCTGGACATCAGCAGGAGAGGACTCTTTAAAGTAGAGACACTACATACTGATATACACCTGAACATCAGCAGGGAGGACTCTTTAAAGTAGAGACACTACATACTGATATACACCTGAACATCAGCAGGAGAGGACTACTTTAAAGTAGAGACACTACATACTGATATACACCTGAACATCAGCAGGAAGAGGACTCTTTAAAGTAGAGACACTACATACTGATATACACCTGAACATCAGCAGGAGAGGACTCTTTAAGTAGGACACTACATACTGATATAACACCTGCAACATCAGCAGGAGAGACTCTTTAAAGTAGAGACACTACATACTGATATACACCTGAACATCAGCAGGAGAGGACTCTTTAAAGTAGAGACACTACATACTGATATACACCTGAACATCAGCAGGAGAGGACTCTTTAAAGTAGAGACACTACATACTGATATACACCTGAGTATCAGCAGGAGAGGACTCTTTAAAGTAGAGACACTACATACTGATATACACCTGAACATCAGCAGGAGAGGACTCTTTAAAGTAGAGACACTACGTACTGATACTACTGTTGCTATGGTGCACATGACAAATATAACCTTTAAAATCCTTCACTTAAAAACAAAATTTCAAGTAAAATTAAATCATAATTTTTCTAGGAAAACTAGTCTTTTTAGGCAAATTCTCGAAACCCATGAAACTGAGATATTATCTTTGGCCGTTTGTATGTTTAGTTTTTCTAATGAGCTCCTTGGCAGCGCTGACAGAAACAGGCTTTCAGTTTGGGAAGAGCTCGGTATTAAAAAACAAACTCGCTCATTCTAATAATGTCACAATGCAGGGGAAACAAACCGAGATGAGTTCGCCTGAAGAGCCCGAAGCAGGTCGACAAGTTCAATCTGTTGCTGCCTCCAATTGTGCAGAAGTGTGTCTTTTCATGAAGAAACTCTACTCAGTGAGATGCGTTCATGCTCTCACTCTTTGCGCAGGATTTCTCAGCTCCCTTCCATTAAAGGTAGTCCTATTCTTCTGATTTTCAGGTTCATATTTAGTGGCTGTACTGTGACATATTTCCATGCTTTTAATGTTCAAAACGATCACAATTTGTCACTGAAATGTAATTGCTTCGGTGCTTTAGTGTGCCAAGACCAATTCTGAATCTAATTAGAACATTATCATTGCTTAATATGCTGACAGAGACTTTAGAACTGATAATTGACAAGACAATAAGAGAAAAGTGTATATAGTTTTAAAAATATGAATACATTCTCATTTCTGGCAGACACAGGAGAAAGAATAGAAAATATAGGCGCTTAATTATTCATTTTCGATAAATCTGTGATTATTAAAATGTCATTAAAATGGTGAAAAATTGCCACAGACAATTTCTCACAAGTCCAAGGAGAAAACTTCAAGTGTCTTTTCTTGATTAACAATACAAATCTTTAAGACTTTAGGTTAAATACCATGTAGTTAAACAAATATCATTAAACTCTCATACTGGAGAGGCTGCACTGGAAGCAGAGATGTGTTTAATGGATGGGATAAAGACATTTTTTGAAGATGCATTTGATTTGAGAGAATTCACTGTCAGGTAGAACGGCCTTATCAACACACACTCACCTGTGTTAAAGTTAAACACATCTGTATGTAGAATAGCCGGTAACACTTTATATTAAGGTACACACATTCATCAACTAGTTGTTAATTAACATGCATGTTACAGTATATTGGCTCTTTGTTAGTCAGTATAAAACACTTATTAATGCCTTATTCTACATGACCTTATTCTCCCAGTACAAGGCCATTAGTTAAGAGTTTCCTCAATAACCCTCTAATGAGTGCTTATGTATTGTACGTAAGGAAGGAGCGTTGCACGGTGTATCGATACTTGAAAGGTACCGCGATACCCTGCCGTTAAAAACGTTACGATTCCTCCGTTTCATTAGTATCGGTACTTTAAGAATGACGGGGAAAAGTACTCCGGTGAGAAAGCGCTGTTTTAATAAGAGCCGGCTCTGCTTCCACTCCCTGCACTGCAGCCGTGCCTGCAGTCCCTCCCTCTCAAGCACGCTCTAAGTCCCTCCCCTCTCAAGCACGCTCTAAGTCCCTCCCCTCTCAAGCACGCTCTAAGTCCCTCCCCTCTCAAGCACGCTCTAAGTCCCTCCCCTCTCAAGCACGCTCTAAGTCCCTCCCCTCTCAAGCACGCTCTAAGTCCCTCCCCTCTCAAGCACGCTCTAAGTCCCTCCCCTCTCAAGCACGCTCTAAGTCCCTCCCCTCTCAAGCACGCTCTAAGTCCCTCCCCTCTCAGCACGCTCTAAGCCCCTCCCCTCTCAAGCACGCTCTAAGTCCCTCCCCTCTCAAGCACGCTCTAAGTCCCTCCCCTCTCAAGCACGCTCTAAGTCTCGCCCCTCTCAAGCACGCTCTAAGTCCCCTCCCCTCTCAAGCACGCTCTAAGTCTCGCCCCTCTCAGCACGCTCTAAGTCCCTCCCCTCTCAAGCACGCTCTAAGTCCCTCCCCTCTCAAGCACGCTCTAAGTCCCTCCCCTCTCAAGCACGCTCTAAGTCCCTCCCCTCTCAAGCAACGCTCTAAGTCCCCCCCCTCTCAAGCACGCTCTAAAGTCTCGCCCCTCTCAAGCACGCTCTAAGTCTCGCCCCTCTCAAGCACGCTCTAAGTCCCTCCCCTCTCAAGCACGCTCTAAGTCCCTCCCCTCTCAAGCACGCTCTAAGTCCCTCCCCTCTCAAGCAAGCTCTAAGTCCCTCCCCTCTCAAGCACGCTCTAAGTCCCTCCCCTCTCAAGCACGCTCTAAGTCCCTCCCCTCTCATGCACGCTCTAATGTAAACACACCTGTATGTAGAATGGCCACACACACACACACACACACACACACACACACACACCTGTATGTAGAATGGCCTTATGAACACACACACTCACCTGTGTTAAAGTCGAGCTTGGCCACCTGCAGAGCGTACGCCTCACACTCCTTTTTGCTGAAACTGAAGATGATGACAGGCTGGAAGTTCCTCTCCATGATCATCTTCACGATTTTAAAAACGCTGGACGGACCTGAGGAAACCAGACATGGGAGAATTAATTAATTAAGATGTACATTGGATTTTATAATAGAGGTTTTCAGACACAGGACGCAGCTTAAAGAGCTTTGGAAGTCCGTCAGACAAACAGAAAATATGCTCTGTGTCTCTAATAATGTGGTCGATAAAAGCTGCTTCCCCAATTTCATTGTCAGCGAGTTTAAGGCTATTTAAAAGGGTAAAGTGGGACAGAGTATTTTCTTTTTAACCGTACCTCTGGTGCCTCCTTTCCTTCGCGGGTCCCACTTTCCTCCTCCACTTCCCCCAGAATCCCCGGCGTCTCTCAGCACCTGCATGGCCGTGTTGAAGTTATCCTCTCTGAAGTCTCCCTGAGGAAAGAAAACATTTAGTCAGTCAGAGTATTTTTAAACACGAGTATGTACTTCTACTTGAGGATGTGTGTACTTTGCCCTCTCTGTTAAGGTGTCCTTACGTTCTCATCCACAACCAGGTGGAGTCCGTCGCCCCCTGATGGGAAGATGTAGTGCTGCAGAGGAGTGGGACGGTACTCAGTGTACACGACATGGCATGGCTATGAAAACAGAAACAAGGCATTAATTATGTTTAAAAAAGGTGATTAAAACACAAATGTCCCCTTGATCCTTTTCTATAGACCAGTGCTCATTTTGGCAGCCATTTTAGATTTAGTCTGGTGGTTATTAGTTTAAGTCACATTTTAGTCCTTCATAGTTTTAGTCGACGACAACTCAAAACGTTTTAGTCGATGAAAAATCATTACATTTGAATCAACTTTTAGTCAAAATGTTCTCTCTTTAAACTAATTCAGTTAAATACAGGTATCTGAAATTTAAATCAAAGTGACGGTATCAAGTGTTGAAATTCGTAAAGCCACATTTCACTCTCTTAACACTTTACTTGTGTAATTAGTGACGTGTGCAGATTCCCAACTAATTCAACCAATGACAGGGATGCATTTCGACAGACAAGACGGACGATTGGGGGAAAATATGCTGCATTTTGAATGTCCGAAAGTCCACCATTAACACCTAAGTCCCGTCATAGTTTTTATTATCAAGAATCTATTTTTAGCTCGTCGTCGTCTCGTCTTAGTCGTGTAAAAAAAGGTCGTTGACGAACATTTTTCGTTAGTGGTGCACGATAATTATCGGTCCGATATTAGGAATTATGACGTCATCCCGATAAACCCGATAAAAGTATTAATAGCCCCGATAATATACAATATATGTTTTGGGTAAAAAAGAAAGAATACTGCGGTGTGGGTGGATTGGGATGAGGGGCGCTTGTTTTTCACTCGGCTCCTCCCGTTTGGCCAGTACTGTGGTATTAGTGGTTTAGGAAGAGGGGAGTTCTTCACAAATCCAGCGCTCCCTAACTCGTGCCTGGCTGTGACGTAAATGGTGTGCGGCCGTGAAGCCAGGACAGTAAACAAACATGTCGCCGGTAGTATGGGACTATTTCAAAGCTTCAGAGTTAGATAGTTCGCTTGCTATTTGTATTAACAAATGCAGAAGTTCCACGAGGAGGGAGAAAGGCAACGAGCTATAATACTTCCAACCTGATTAATCACCTGAAACATCGCCATCGCTACGATGGTGTGTTAAAAGCGCACGAAGACGCCTGCGCTGCTAAACTAGCGGCGAATCCAAAGCCAGCTGCAAAGGCACCGGGGCTTTTACCTATCCACGAGGCTTTTGGAAAAGGCAAGAACTTTATTTGGGAAAATAAATATGGTCACTTTGAAGAGTCAAAACTGTTCTTTGTTTTGTTCATAGTAGTAATGCTCATGTCATTTGCTCACTTTTACCACCAGGTGTGCAAAAACTACAGGTACATTTAATATATATATATATTATATTATTATCGGTCTTGAGAAGCAGGAAGTTATCGATATCGGTTTAAAAAAAACAATATCGTGCATCCCTACTTTTCGTCATTGTCTTCGTTGACGAAATGAACACTGATATTAGACCAGTGTTTCTCAAAAGTGTGGTGTGCAAACCACTGGAGGTCCGTGAGTATATTAGTAAAATTTCCCATTTGAAATAAATAAAGTTAAAAGTGTTTCTCAAAATGTTTAAAAATGACTAGTATAGGTGGCAACAGAGACACAGTCAATGAGTGCGTAAACAACGCAATAAACCGTATTTCATTTTGTTTCATATTCTGTTCTTGAATGAAAGCGTTTCTGAAACACTGATATAGATGGATAAATGTTACCTCCTTATATCGAGAGGGACGTTAATTGCCCTCATGATTGTAACATGTGCTCGTTAAGCATCACACCTGCTTGTGAAGGTGGCAAATCCACTCTGCAAACTGCTTGGCGTTGGGGATGGTGGCCGACAGGAAGACGTAATGCACGTTATCAGGAAGTAGAATGATGGTTTCCTCCCAGACAACACCACGCTCTGAAACACAGAAAGCAGAGGAATGTATTTACTTTTTAAAGCAGAGGTGGGGAACCTTTTTCCTCTCAAGGGCCATTTCAATTTTCACAACATCCTCCGAGGGCCGTAGAAATGATTGAACTCAACCTCTGCTAAAAAAAAAAGCAAAAATCACAACCCTTTCATTTCGCATTTCTTTCATGCTGTGCAAAGAAAAAGCAACCTCTTAATCCAGATATTTGATTTCCAATGTTTTTATGTTGCTTATGTGCCATTATTATTTGAGAGTGTGTAAAAGGCGTACGGACCAACATGCAGACGCTCATAGCAGGTACTTTGAATTCCAGGAATTGGCTGGCTTTACACCCACGTTGCTATCAGAAACAATGCCCGACTGTTTTGGACGTAATATGGTCGGTGTTTACATTAGCATCGCTAACACTCAGAGCTAACCTGTACTGGAGAGCATGTGTGTGAAGAAGCAGGAAGTAAAAAGGAACTCACCTTGTGGTATAACCGGCAAGAGAGAAAGCCTTTGAGCTCCAGACTGTTTCAGAGAGAATCCTTGATAATCCATGATATGGCGTTTCATCACGGCAGCATTTAGTTTAGACGGTAGCTGCCGGGTCCCGCATGAGCTCAGACCCCTCCTTTAATTTTTTTAAGCTTTACGGCCCGTCCACACTACAGCTTCGACAGCTTCAAAAACGGTTTCTACGCGTCTGCCCACTTTGAACGCGTATGGGGTATCACTTTGAATGGGGTGACATCACTTTTCGCCGAACTGCATTGTGGGAAGCAGAGCGGAGCTTTCCTGGCGTTTCAGGCTTCAAAGGTTGAGCAATGTTCAACTTTTGAAGCTTCTGAAGCTTTCGGTGGAAGCGTCAGCCAATCAAATCATATGCCAGTACAAGCTCTAGCCAATCAAAGCGCTGCTTGTGTGTCAGGGGCGGGAGATTCATGTGATTGGTTGTTGGTCGAGCTTCAGACACGCCCAGCTCCAAGCTTTTTTTGAAGCTGTAGTGTGGACAGCCGTTATACCCAAATCAGCACTTTAGAAACAGGAAGTGAAATAGAGGGGTATGAGGCATGGCTAGAATTATCTGTTTGGTATTTTGAGCAAAACACTTCATAGACATGATTTTTATATATTTGTGTATATCTGAGACCTGTGCTATTGCCTAAAGATAGCATGATAGGTGACCTTTAAACAATAGCTTACGACAGGCCGTGGTATATGGACATTATATCACAGGTAAGGGGCGTTGTTCGGCCCGACGCGAAGTGGAGGGTCGACATTAGTCATAGTAGACAGACAGCGTTGATCGATTATTCGGCTATTATTATTTGACAGTTGCATAACAATCTCTCAACTTGTTATTGAGCTCCTGTTTTATCGACGTCTGAAAGTCTATGACCAGCTTTATCCTGACACCAGTCTTCAAAGCACTCAACTGCCATTTTGTTCTGTTTATTTCCAGTTGGTCTACCTGCTCTTCACGTAGCTCTGCATGTCGTCGTTTAGGTGCTTTCTGGAGATAGCAGGCACTGCTCAATCCACTCCTCCATAGCAAGGCCACCCCGGAGGTCGAAAGTTAACCTTAAATGTTTCCATGTTAAGCTTTGTTAGTTAGTTTCGTAACGGACGCAATGTAACTGTTGTAGCTTTTTCTCAGGCGCGGAGGGATACATGACTTGTTGTGAAAAGTAACTAGAATTCTACCCGTGATATAAGCTCATTATATCACGGCTAAGAACCAATCAGATTGCTTGGTTTCATTTATCCGTTTTATAATCTCAAATAACTCATGATGAACTGCAGGTGTGTATCCCGTCCTCACCTAAGTCTCTCATGTAGTGGATCTCATCAAAAACGACCCAGGCAACTTCCCTCATGATCTCAGAGCCTCGGTACAGCATGCTCCTCAGGATCTGGGAGAAATAAAACATTCATTATGTCAGAAAACCTCTCAGTGCTGCACATTTCCCAAACTCTACTGCTTTTGACAACATTACCACAAGAAATATCGTACTCTGATTTCTTAGCTGGATAGAGTGAGTTGTTTCAATAAGTAGACCCTCCAGAAAAACGCGATTCTGCGATCGTGTGGAGCTCACACGAGAGAGAAAACACCAAGATGAAAAAATCTAATCCATCTCATTTACCGACGATCATTTCTGCTAAAGACCGGGCAGAGCAGTACCCCGATGTCTTGCACGAAAGTGGGGAGAAACTATTCTGCACCCCGTGCAACTGTGTGTTGGAGCATAAGAGAACATCGACGGTGACGACCCACTTTGATTCATTCAAACATTCGAACATGCTTTCTGCTGCTGCGGACAAGAAAGCCAAACAACTCACGTTCACCGAGGCATCGACCTCCAAAACCCTTTCGAGGGCTACAAGGAACGAGGTGAGTAGCCTACAAGATTGAAGCTGGTCAGATAACGAGATGTGTGTGTGTGTGTGTGTGTGTGTGTGTGTGTGTGTGTGTGTGTGTGTGTGTGTGTGTGTGTGTGTGTGTGTGAGTGTGATTAAAATAGCCCTCTTGCTTTTACAATAGATAAACATTGAATGTGTTTAATTGAATAGGAAAGGGGTTTAACGTTAGTGGCAGGTTGTGTGTGAGAGAATAAATAAGACAGCCCAATATTTAAAAAAAAATCTATTCTTTTTCGCAACTTCCCGCAATTTCACCGCATAAAAACCCCCGCATGTTTAATCGCATAATCAAGGATTTTAGCCCGCGTTTTTCTGGAGGGTCTAAATATGCAGTGGAGGAAATAAGTATTTTATCCCGTGCAGATTGTGTAAGTTTACCCACTAACAAAGAATGAACAGCCTGTACATTTAATGGCTATTCATTTGCTGATTCTTTGCTCAATTTATTGATTCAGAAGATTTAGGAAATTGTTAAAAATGTCTGTTATAATTTAAATAAAGGTGATATTTTGTCAATGTGTTAATATCTCCACGTTCTCTCACCTCTGTGGTCATGACGAGGCAGGAGGCGGTGGGGTTGATGGTGACGTCTCCCGTCATCAGACCAACATCCTGGAACTCCTCGTACATTTCTCTGTATTTCTGGTTAGAGAGAGCTTTGATGGGGCTGGTGAAGATCACCCTCTGCTTCTCTCTGAGCGCCAGGGCAATGGCGTATCTGCAAGAAGAGATGGATTAACTGAAATGTAGTTATTTAGGAGAAAACCTCAGCAAGACAGTAAATACAAACATAACCAAATCACTAAACAACTAGAACAGGGTTCCTGCAGGTTTCACCAACTCAAATTAAAGGGGACCTATCGGGCTATATTAGAAATATATATTGTAGGGCCATACCTATATAAAACAGTTCCCCCACTGTAGCCATGCCTCATGCTGCTCAAACCCCTCTTTTGAAGCCCTGTTAGAGAAGCAAGGATTGCGGGTCCTTAGCTTGAACAAAAAGAAAGAAGAGGAGGCGGAGCTAATGCCTGATCAGAATTCTACCGGAGATAAAGTTAAATTCTGCTGTGATAAAACGCCATCCTGTTCTAAACCACATCAAGGATTATTTCTGAAACAGCATGGAGCTCAAATGCTTTTTCTCTCGCGGGTTTATCACAAGGTGAGTTCTTTTTTTATTTCCTGCTTTTCAAACACATGCTCTCCAGCAGGGGTTCCCAAAGTGTGGGAAGGTGAGCCTCCCCTCAGAGAACATAATCACAGCCGCGCCCCCCTCCCAATTATTATTGCTATTATTATTATTGTTGCTATAATGCAGGGGTATTGAATTGCATTTCAAAGAGGTCCAGTGAGAGAAAATGTCATAAAATGCTCTGTTTTCACTGCCTTTCTGTTTTTTGATTGGCTGAGCGTCACTTCCTTAAGACATTAAACAATAGCTTTTTTAAACCTCTTTATCTTTATGTTTTAAACATGTTGAGGTTAAGGATGGCAGCTTCCTCATACGTTGCACTCGGAGAGAAAGTTGAGTGCCGTATGCTTCCTGGAAAAATGCATTCCTCGTCAAAAACTCAACGGAATATTTTAATTAAATGACAGCAGCTGCTTATACCTGCAACTGTGGAAGTAACAAACAACATCTCGTGTCCTTACTGTAACACGGTCATATTTGTTTATTTCTGCAAGCCCTAATATACACATTGATATGCACTCGTGTCCTAAAGATCTCTACATTTGTATTATACATTTCAATAAGAATCATTCGGGGTTCATACACTTCTCCATGACTTCTCCATGACCTTTTCCTCATTTTCCATGACCAAAAAAAAATGACCACTGAAAATGGTTTATTTGAACATGGAACAGGAAATAAGGTCTGATATGAAACATGTAGTGCCGATCTGAAACAGCTTACTAGCTTCTACTCGCTAAAGCAACTGCAGTCAGGGAGGCAAAGTCATCAGGTATGAAAAAGGTGACAAGGACCCGACCCCTGACCCCACCAGGAATATCGGCTTTAAAATAAGGAATAACAGGATGTTAGCAGTCAGAACAACTAAAGCAGCAGGTAGTAATAACAGAAACGCCAAAGAGTCACATCTAATAGAAATATATAAAAGCATTTATTTTAATTGTGCAGCAGTCAGTTTATAATTCTGGCAGCACTGTTGAGCATTTTGAAAATGTATTTTCATGCCTCTGTGCAAGGCTTAGTCTTTCTATCTGTATAGCCAGTGGTGTGAAGTAACTAAGTTCATCAACTCAACACACTTTTTAGTGTCAGGATGGAACCCTTGTCCCATTCTGCAAACAGAATCTACCTACAGGTACAAATAAATAACCTGAACCTGAAGGTACATGGTGTACTTCGACTCCACTACAGTTCAGAGGTACATGGTGTACTTCGACTCCACTACAGTTCAGAGGTACATGGTGTACTTCGACTCCACTACAGTTCAGAGGTACATGGTGTACTTTTCCTCCACTGCATGTATTTATACCTTTAGTTACTTCACAGATGTGGATGAATGATGTGAAATCTAATCAAGTGTTAAATCAGACTTTAGTTCCACCTGGAGTAAATCCACCAGCTACCCTGCAGTATACAAAGTCATTCAAACTAGCTGCACCTTTACCAGCTTTGAGAACACTTTCATGATCAATCATTATAAAACATATCATATATATTATTCTGAAATGGACCAATCTGCACAACGACTACTTTCACTGTCGCTACTTTCACTATATTTTGATGAGAATACTTTTCTACTTTCACTTGAGGAACATTTTGAATGCAGTACTTTTACTGTAACAGAGTATTCCTACACTCTGGTACTTCTACTTTTACTCAAGTACAAGATCTGAGTACTTCTACTTTTACTCAAGTACAAGACCTGAGTACTTCTACTTTTACTCAAGTAGAAGATCTGTGTACTTCTACTTTCACTAAAGTACACGATCTGAATACTTCTACTTTCACTGTCGCTACTTTCACTATATTTAGATGAGAATACTTTTCTACTTTCACTTGAGGAACATTTTGAATGCAGGACTTTTACTGAAACAGAGCACAATAATAATCAAGCCTCCAGGAGCAGATGAGCCTGAGGGCTAATAGCTCCTCTTCAGTCTGCTGATGTTTCTGTGGTGGCAAAGCAAAGTAAAAAAGAAAAAAGACCTGTAGTCGAAATGCGGCTTAAGAACGCTTTATTTTTAAGATACTCACTCAGCACAGACGGTCTTTCCAGCCGAGGTGTGAGCCGACACCAGCACAGACTGGTTGTTGTCGATGCACAGGAGGGCCTCGCGCTGGAACGGATCCAGAACAAAAGGGTACTCCTGCAAGACGAGGAAGACATGGTTAAGGTTTAGTGTTGACCTAATCGTGACGCCTGTAGTCAACACACTATAACATTACATTACATTGCATTTAGCTGACGCTTTTATCCAAAGCGACTTACAATAAGTGCGTTCGTCCAACAAAATACAACTTGAAGAAAACAGAATCATAAAGTACATCAGGTTTCATAGAGCCAAACATTTCAAGTGCTACTCAACTGGCTTTAGGTAAGCCAGTCCTTTATTAGTATAAAAGTGCTTCGTTAATAGTTCTATCGCTCGAAGTGAAGTCGAAAGAGATGAGTTTTCAGTCTGCGCCGGAAGATGTGCAAGCTATCTGCCGTCCTGATGTCAATGGGGAGCTCATTCCACCATCCTGGAGCCAGGACAGCAAACCCACGTGTTTTTGCCGATGGGAACTTGGGTCCCCCTCGCAGCGAGGGTGCAACGAGTCGTTTGGCTGATGCAGAGCGGAGTGCACGTGCTGGGGTGTACGGTTTAACCATGTCCTGGATGTAGGAAGGGCCAGATCCATTCGCAGCATGGTAAGCAAGTACCAGTGTCTTGAAGTGGATTCTAGCAGTTACCGGAAGCCAGTGAAGGGAGCGGAGGAGCGGAGTGGTGTGGGAGAATTTAGGAAGGTTGAAGACTAGACGAGCCGCTGCATTCTGGATGAGCTGCAGAGGTCGGATGGCACATGCAGGTAGACCAGCCAGGAGAGAGTTGCAGTAGTCTATAAAAGACTACAATTCCCACGGTGCCTGCTCTAAAGTGAGTGAGGGGCAGCAACCTGCTAGAAAGACGCCGGCGAGGAACAGGTTTTAACCGTAAAACTACCCTTTAAGTTATTAAGTTATATAAGCATTGTCTAGACAGAAAGAATACTTAAGTTGTTTGTTATTTAATGTTTTGTATATTTCTTTTGACTATTGTAAAGGCCTCTTTTCTTTTGTTGCGTGTAAAC